CTCACCTTTCTCCAAAATTGTTTTATATACAATAAAATTGTTGTGTAGTGACTGTAAATTAATTTTATCCAGAATCTTTGTTTCAATAAAGCGTTGTGAACTAAATGGAAACATATCAACGTTATTTATAAATTAACTATGTTGTTCATTAGTAATTATTATAATAAATCTGAATATTAAGTTTTATTTTAATCTTAGAAGGAATCTCTCGATACGGAAAGTTGGCCATGCTAGTTTAATTTGTATGAACATAAACTAAATCACATACTTGATATGCTATGCATGGTCAAAAAGTGCGAATTCTGGCGATAAAATGGTCATTTTGGGGTCATGGAGTTGGCTGACATGATCATATGTACTTGAATACTATATATACTGTATATATGACTGCATTATACACATACATTTGCCGGATAAGTTTGCGACATATAAAGTGCTTACTATACGGTTGAGTGCCGTCTAAACATTTAATACATACCGTCTATACCATAGACGTCCAAAATATGAGTAGCATGTTAAATTACTAATGCTATTCATATAGCAATGTGACCGCTGTGGTACATACATGTAATCTATGGTCTATACAAATAATGTTAATTTATATAAAAATAATCATGTCAGCCAACTTCTTGACCGCAAAAATGACCATTTTATCGCCCGAATTTGCACTTTTTGACCATGCATATTTATCAAGCATATGATTAAGTTTATGTACATACAAATTATACTATCATTGCCAACTTTCCGTATCGAGAAATTCCTTCTTAATATAAATTTAGATAACATACATTGTTCTTGCCAAATTTTCAAATTTAAATTCCGGTTCATAGCATAACGTTGTCATAGGTACCTCCAAATCGGGTTGACCAAGGTGAAACTTCATATATGTGCCCAGAATTGATTGCATATTAAGCGCCTGAATGTCATTGCTAATAATAACCAAATTTTTAAATTTGTCATATAATGAAGTTTTTGATTTATCACTTATATCCGCAATAAACGTGTTAACCTCAGCGAATTTTAATTTATGCAACATCCTGATAAATTTGTCACGAAATGGTTGTGGAAAATATTCACTATACCCTGGTGATTTAAACGCCTCGTACGTCCAGTAATCAACATAAACCGTTAGCCTATCATCAAGGACGTCGTCAATGGTGTCGACGTGCATGACATCCCGGCTCACCATATGTGCTGTAATATTGTTAACGGCCATATAGACTATCGGTGCAATAAACACGAGCCATACCATGTATATATAGTTACGATAATCCCGGTGCTCTGCCATCAATAAGCAAGGTTTAAAGTAAATCCAAATTTTCTGATATATCGATCCCTTTGTTTTAATATTGCCACAATGTTTGTGAATTAGTCTGTCCGTTATGATTATCAAGGTAAACGCGCTTAATATGCAAAGCCATATGTTCACGGTGAACACATTTGCCATATTAGAAATTGGTTGAAATGGTTTGTACATATCGAAACTGAAATAGTTCATTACATGGCCTAGGTACAATGGTGGTGAGCAGTTTAATTGTTGTTCATAGACTCTCGAGTTATAATCAGTGGGTGTCTGATATAGTGCGGTCGCTAAGCCCTGTTTAACAGGTCTCCATTCACTAATATTATACTGAGTGTCACTCTCCGAGCATTGAAACACGTATAGACTTATACTATAAAAACATATATAAAATTTAAATTATTTTTATAGTTTAAAAGTTACAAAATATAAATTTGGGAAAAAAATTGTAGGATTATTCACCTATAATTTGTTGGCTTGGCAATTTCATCCAATATATTAAACACTACAGACTTGTAATAGGCTGTCCCTTTTAGTGTGTCCACTGGAATAAATTCAACCTTTTGGATATAAAATATTATATAAATATTACATTTTATTTAAACTATAATTTGTAAAATAGCTACCAATTTATGCAAAAATATTTCAATAAAATAATATATTTATATTTATACCTCGTCAGTGTATGTCATTAGATAAAATGTGTTATTACGTTGGATGGGTAACTGTTCAGGGTGTTTACGATAGACATCGCAGTCAATGTAAGACATATTGACGGAGTCCATGAACTTATGCCACAACCCATTTCCACTTTGAGATAATATGTACTCGATAGGATTACCCACTGATAGGTATATTTCTTTCATAAAAGGCATATTTCTATTAAAATTATTTAAAAATATATCAAGATGAGTAAATTAACAATGTTAATATTTATATAACAGCCTAATAGTACAACATTCATGAGGTCCAGAGGTTAATAAATACCTATAAAATTAGTTATTATTATAGATGAAAAAATTATTAATACCGTTTTTATATTAATGTTTTTAATTATATTTTATAATTTATTATTTATATTGTTGTTGTTACGGTAATGTAATTATAATATTATGTTATGATTTTAAAAAATCAATTTTTCAACAATATTTAATACTTACTATTGTATTGTAATATAAGTTAGTATAATATAACCATGGCAATTGGTACTTTCAATTATGTTTGTATTTTATTAATATAATTATAAAAACTAAAATTTAAATTTAAAGTTTTATATTACATAGCTACTACATTAAATATATTATTACAAACAAAAAATTTTAGTACTTTATCGTACTGGATCAATATTTTAATCAGATAATAATTTTATAATCTGGGTCTTATTCATCAATGCTAATAAAAATAAGTTTATATAACATAAATATCATTAGACTTATGAGGGTCAATATGGTTCATAGGATTAGCCACTGATATGTAGACATCTTTGTAAAACGCCATTTTTATTATGATTTTACGAGCTTTTCAAAATATATACTAATTATCCACGGTAAATTTTATACTGAATATATTACAATAATTATACATAGCATAATTATTGCAGTTTTTCAGATTCTTAATTAATTTGAATTTCAACAACATAATATGCTATTTATATATTTATTATTTGAAATAGTACATGATCGAAAAATTAATTTTAATTAACTTTAAATTATTAATAATATACAACATTTGTACAAGTACAGGTATAATTATTATTTTGAAAAACTTATTATTTTAAATCCAATCATAATAATTATTATACAATTTGGTACCGTACCTATTGCTTTGTATTAGTATTTATTATTTCATTAATATTACTATATTTACTACAATAATATGAATACTTGAAAACAATACGCCACCTACATTGAACATACTTTTATTTATTGATTATACAGTATTTGTCATTAAATACGGTATAATATTACAGGAGATATTATAATTTTTAATAATTAAAATATTAAATACTCAATATAATTATAACATTATTTAAATATTTATTATGCTTTATTATTTATTAAGTTTTTACTTAATTTAAAAATTGGTTATTACTTTATAGCGAGATAATTTTAAAAACATTTTTTATTTACCTTTACATACTTTGTGATTTTTAGATTAAGATAATCACGGACTACTAAAATATGTTCATTTAAAATTATGTTTCACAAAACAAATAATTGTTCACATTGAGCTTGGTTGTGTATTTAAAATTATGAAAATTTATTTAATTAGGTTTAATTTAATTACATTGAGGGTTTTACAATAATAATCAAAGTAACATTACACATGCACAAAATTTTATAACATTTTAATCGTAGTATACATATGTCTGAACGGACCTTGGTGCTATTTTCTCGATCAATTTACCTTCCTTATCGTCCTCAACGATCAAATCGATTTCAATTCCCTCCGTATTTATCGCGATAACAACTGTCGACCCGTTGGGGGTACGGAAACCACCGACCACTCCGTGATTGTTATTGCTATTCACTAAAGGTGTGTCCACTCTGTAGCTACCGGGTGGCAAAAATTTACTGAAATGTGCCATCGCGTAGTACGACGGTTGCCGGTAGTACTCCTTTTTTACCGGGTCAACCAGTAATGGGGCGTCCACAAAGTTGTTTTTCCAGTTGGGACCACCCTGGGTGTCCAGCACCATGTTCCAGTCTACCCAACCGACCACGTGATGTAGCAAGTCCTGGTTAAATTAAGTTTTTAAAATTAATTTTGCATTAAAAAGTATATTACATATTTTAGACAATATATTCTCACTAATTATAATAAAAAATAATTCAGAAATATGTTTAAAAATTTAACTTTTGATAAAAATTCATAATATTTTTGACAGTTGAATAATAATAAAATTCATCTAACCAATTATCTAATTGTTTTACTACAAACACTGCATTTAAGATTATTTGTTAACTGTAACATAATTTTCTATAATATTTTCTACAAAGTATATTCTAAACAATCTAGATACCTTCGAAAATTACAAATAATTCTAAATGTGGCGTTTGTTTCGCGCCACCCTGTAGACTCTACATTAAACTTACACTGAGTATATCAAACGCGTATAAATCAGCGGTATTCCAGTCGCCCATTTTGACACCGCCCTCCACGCAGGCCTCGGTAGCCAAAAACGGCTTATCCGGGTGCTGCTGGTGGGGACCATCCAGTTGCTCCTTAGGGTCGTGACCGTACCAATGAATAGCCGTTCCCCACGTGTACTTAGTAGCGTCAGCGTCCTGGTAGTACAGGTTGACCCAGTCCTTTGCCATGCCCACATTATGGTCCATGGTCATAATTTTGAATTTATCGTGAGGGTATCCGGACTTTTCCAATTCGGGTCCCAGGGTCTGGCCTACGAACGCCCTCATAGTTTCCGGTGAGTACCACATGGAGTTCCAGCCGGTGTCACACGCGTAGGGCTCGTTTTGGACGGTTAGCCCCCAGTGGCCGAGACCGTGCGATTTGTACGCATCCAGGTATCTAAGAAAATAGTCATACATTTAGTAAATGTAACTTGAAAAAATTAAACTATGCAATTTAAAACGCTTTCAAACTGTAATTAATTTTTGTTTTAAAATTCTTTAAACTATAAAGTTTAAAGTTTATTAGTGTTAAAAGTGTAATAGATATTTAATATAATTAGTGTTAAATTTTTAAAAATATTGTGACCCTTACTTGACTAAATACTTGGCGTATATCTGCCAGTACTCAGTGCCCGGTTTGCCCTTGATCGCACCGCAATAGATTAATTTGTTATTATCTTTCATCCAGGCCGGTGCCGACCAGGGACTACCGAATAACAGTAAATCGTGTCCAGCCATTTTTGCAGCTTTTTGAATTATAGGTATCTACAAAATTTTTTAAAAAAATAAATTTTTTATTGTGTATAGCTCATTTGTATAATATATATATATAAATATACCTTATATTGTAGATCCTCCGTGGTCAAATTGAATTTAGCCAGTGTCTTATCCTCCTCAGTACCTTGCTCATCGTCCAACGAATAGGTTCGGGTAGAAAAGTCCGACCCACCTATGGGTATACGCCCCATATTATACTCCAGACCCTCCTTACCATAACAATCGGCGATCAGTTGATTGCCTAATTTGTCGCCCATTTTTAAGATGTTAATACCGGTGGCGTCGGTAAAGGCGCCCCCGAAACCCACCACCTCCTGGTGCTTGACATCCCTGTTCAGTTTGACATACAACTGGGAGCCGACCTTATCAATGTCCACGTGTTTGGCCTTATCTTCCAGCTTATAGACTGTCTTCGTGAATCGGTTACCCTGAGCGGTGGACTCCCACTTTGTCAAAACGCCCGGTGCTGTCTTTGTGGGCCCCTCCAACTTCTGACACGGCTGACCCTCGGTGCACACGCACACAAAGCTGTCGAAACCGGGCTTGTTATTGGCGCAGGTAGGGTGCAGGGTGTGGTCGGGCGCTTTGTCCGATATGACAAGTATCTCGTATTGTTTCTCGGTTGTCTCACCGCCACCCCACCCGTAATACATGAGGTTGGTGCTTTTGTAGAACTTGCCCACCATATAGGAGTTGCCACCTCTGTACCGGGCTGAGTAGGCTTTCCCCTGTAAATATGTAAACGTAATTATATAGTTAGATTAACCAATATTAAATTAAAATTCATAAATATTTTTAATATACAGAGTAGGCTAAATTTCTAAATTTTTAAAAATTAGTTTATGTCTGTTTAAAACTCGCTATATAATAGGACATTACTTAAAGTATATTGTTTACATAAACATCTATTGCCTAAATAACATATTCTAAGACATAAGACATACCCCTTTAGGATCGTCACCGGCCTCGACGGCACCTTTAGGTAGGGTTCCGTCGCGCGCTTTAATGAAGTCCACGAAACACTTGTTAGGGTTCGTTAGGACTTCGAAGTTGTCCGCCAGGGCGTACTCCTTGCCGTCCATAGTCACGAAACACCTTTCCTCAGCCGGTTTGTATCGGCCGGGAGTCATCACACCGTTATAGACGGCCCTAATTGCGTATATGTAGAGTTAGCAAGGAAATTAGTCTATTTAAATATTTTTAAAGATTTTTGCTAATTTCAAATTTAGATTACTTGATTTATATAAACTAATTATATCTAACTTATCGTACCTAACTTAGGCTAGATCAACCATATTATATTTGAGCGTAGGTTAGGTTAGGTTATTTTTTAATAGAATATTTTTATAGATATTAGATTACTTTAAATTAGTTTTAAAAATATGCAGGCTCACCTTGATACATAGAACTCCCCAGTCTCTTTAGTGTAACCCTCGTTGGCCAACACGGAATTCGGGGGCAGATTCTTGTGATCCGTTTTCACCCATTTTAGTTCACAGGCGGCCCAACACGTCGACCACAAAAGTGGCGACAAAACGCTTATTAGTAATAAATATCGCATTTTCTCATTCATTGCTAACCCATTGTAAGTATGGGCAACAAATGAACTAGTTCACGTAGACTTTTTTCTCGGCTCTTATATACTATGTTGTTACCTTGATTCGAGATTTGATAAAAAAAAGTAGACAATCCTAGTACAGATACGAACAAGGTCATTCATGAAATCTATTTTATAATGTAAAAAGTTTAATATATAATTAAATTTATTTGTTTGTAATTATAAATTATAAATTAAAGTTTATAATTATAAATTTAATATGTTTAAGTATAAATTAAAATTTTTTATTAACTCATTAACTTTGCTTTAAAAAATAAAAATATATTTCAATAGACCTTGTTTATTCACTTAATTTTGTGAAGTGTTTTGTTCTAAAAACAAAAAATATGGCTTATCTGAAGTGGTTATACTGTTCATTACATAACTAGCTCATGTAGATTAAATTTTAAATCCTATTCACTATGCTGCGAAATGTAATGAAAGTGTATGTTTACTGTAATTGATAATAGAATTAACTTTAATTTTTTTAATGATAAACTATTTTGATATTTTACTTATCATCAAAGTTATATGTATTTGTTTATTAAAAAATACACACATACCTATTTAATCTAAAGCTTAATACACGGATCTGTTTATAAAATAATATTATCCGTGCATTATGTGCATGATAAACTGCAGTATTTTTAAAATCTAACTGTTTACTTATCAATAAATATTGATAGTACTGGCAATAATATAATGTAGGATTAATTGCATAGAAAAATGTGGTGCAAATAAACTTAAAATATTAATTGATAATGTTGCGAAACTATTAATTTTGAAATAATTAAAAAATAAATGTACTGTACATAGATGATTTTATTAAATTAATATACAGGATGTAAAAATATCGGAATAGTGAACATTTTAAGATTATTGGCATAATAATTTTATCTACAGTACCAGTATAAGAATATAACCAGGGATCTAGATAATTAAGTGTTCGCACATTTAGTGCAGTGAATTTTTAAAAATATATCTTTTTAATTATAATTAAATCATTTACTAAAATCATAAATAATTTTAACATGTTGTCGAATATTTGACCTAATTGTTTTTAAAAATATTGACAATTTTCTTTTAGGTAAGTACGTTATAAAAAGTATTTCTAGAAACTTTAAATATAAAATGATGTATAATAATAAAGCTGTAACAAAAATTATACAAAATAAGCATATTTGATAAATTCTTAAAAATTCTATTCTAGGTTAAAAACTAATTCATATTTTTATATTTAGCTTATAAATAATTAACAAACCATTAATTATAGATAACGAAATAATTATTAAATTAAATATTAATGTAAAATATGCAATTATAATCTATAGGCTATATTAATTAATTAATTAAAGTTAAGAAATAAAGTAGATAAAAATAATTCTATTAATAATGTAAGTTTTATTGTTTTATTATAATCAACACACCACACAATTATTATAATCACAATTAACCTGGTGATAATGATTTGGGCCATGGTAGAATTGGGCAAAAAGCATTTGCCGATGGTAAATTAGTGATCATCATATTAATTTGCACAATGAACATAACAGTTATGAATCATAACTTATGATCATGTCTCAGAGACGATGATTAAACAATTGGATACGTTAGAAGTATCCTGGACAGTCACAATTTTAGTAATTTCTAATAAAATATTACTTAGGCAGAATTATGTAAAATGATTAAAATGATTTAAATTAATAAAATTCACTTGGATTCAATAATTTAAGGAAACTTATTATAAATAATTTTGCTGTTAGTTTGTCAATTTGAGCCCGGTAACGCATTGATTCTAATTGATTGATAAATACTACAAACTTATTTTAAATAAACTATGTTAAATTAAAGTAGGCTGGGTTAAAGATAAAAAAAATTAAAATTAGATTAAGTAGCTAGCTTATACTAAACTCATTTTTACCATGGTAATTTGACGTTTTTACATTTTCGTGAAACGATAAAAAATAAATAAATATTGTTATTTATTTGCATTCTACTCAATTTAGCTTGATAATATTTATGAACATTTTTGAATAGCCTGGACATAATTTCCGTGAACATAACGATTGAGAACCCGAACCATAAGCTTATAATACTCGCCGATAGGCATACGTACTCTTCGGCCGACATTTTCGACGATATCATGTATTTTACGGTCGGTTCGTAATGCTCTCTCATCACTAAAAAGTAACTGTCATTATAAAGGTGAAAATATTTACTTTGTTGATTGTTCATGTTCAATTTGAAGGATTCATACTGACGATCAAGATCCAACTCACACATGGCTTTACACTTTTAAATTATATCCCAAAATAGAGAATGGTTATTTACGAATTTTACATTTGATGTAGTATCATATTGTAACAATTTCGGATAAAGACCACGTGTCTCTTGTAGGTAACCTTGGCGCATGCATTTGTCCATATATGTATCGCCCCATACGGACGTG